ATAGAAGAAAAAATAGTTTACTTCAGTACTGACTAACTTTTATTGATCCGAAAGGGTTTTGTGGAGAAATTAGAAATTTCACTGATTGAGATCATAAGTCGATTAAAGCTATACCAACATGGAAAACTTGGAAGCAATGGATGGCTGTTTTGTTCTAGTATGTGATTCCTCAGCAGGGAGCATCTACTATCCCGCATACGGGATCAGACCCAGGAACTGCCGATCTTCCGCGCGAATGCCTAACTTCAAAACCAATGAGCCGGCATCCATCCTGGATTTCTAGTGAGTAGCCGTAAACAATGGAGTCAATCAGGTCTGTTATATGGCAGTAACTCACTGAAGACAATGGTGGATCGTGGCGCGAATCCGTGGATTGATCGAAATTAGACTTTAACATCATTGGATACCGGCTCAATGGTCTAGATGTGAGGCATTCGCGCATGAGACCAATGGTCCTGGGTTCGAATCCCGCATGCGCAATTGTGGATGCTCAGTGCTGAATAGTGCGATAGTAGGACGAAGCAGCCGTCCATTTCTTCCACATTTTGCTTAATTATGCAGATACTACTCAATCGCTAGAAAATTGAAACACTTTTTATGTATATTACTTACATTTAACATAGTTGTTAATCAAATATTAAAGTCTCTTATGAATCACTAATTCTTTAAGATACATTCGTGTTAAATTAATTTTAAAATTTTTGATATACTACTGATCAATTTTAGTAGTACTATGTCTATTACCACTGGGGATGACATTTCACCAGTCTAATATTTAAACATGTTGCATTATATTTATCACATTATCGTGGATGATTTTGATGAGATTTTGTTCTGTGAGCAAGATGCTTTGGTCATGGAGTTTTCATTGTTCTTCTGAACAACATCATCAGCCCAAACTTCAAGTGGAAGTGAAGTATTCGAACTCATAACTTGTCCTGTTGACATCGATCTTGACCGGTTATTCTGAACTTTTAATCTGTCATTTTCTACTACTACTACTACTACTACTACTACTACTACTACTACTACTACTACCACTACTACTACTACTACTACTACTACTACTACTACTACGACTACTACGACTACTACTACTACTACCACTACTACTACTACTACGACTACGACTACTACTACTTCTACGACTACGACTACTACTACTACTACTACAACGACTGCTACTACTACGACTACTACTACTACTACTACTAATAATAATAATAATAATAATAAAGGCATCATGGAACTTCTAGAAGTTTGATAATCAGGTTAATTAATGATCGACAACCTCATTGAAATCGATTTAATTTATCAATCAATCAGAAATAGTATGAACAAATATAAAATCAAGAATCAAATCAATAGATGATACAATCAAACTAAAGAGAGATAAACAACAACACAATAAAAGTCATCAATAACCAGTCATAATCAAAGTCGACAACACAAGCTCTAAGTCGTATATACGGATATTCGAATATCCGACTTCTATTTTTGAAGTTTATACTGATGATATTGTTCAGAAGAACACTGAAAGCTCTAGGACCAAATCATTCAACTCCACTTAAAACATTTTACATCTATCATTTATTTGTAATATTTATGGGTCACTTCAAAAGTTTAATAATGAGATGGTGGAGAAGATTTGTAGCTCAGGTGGATGATTTTGATGGAGTTTTGTTCTCTGAGCTGGATGGTTTGGTCGTGGAGCTTTCATCGTTCTTCTGAACGACATCATCAGCACAAACTTCAGATAGAAGTGAAGTGTTCGATTTTCTCCATATGTGCACAGAACAAGCTGTGAAGCACATATGGAGAAAATCGAACACTTCACTTCTATCTGAAGTTTGTGCTGATGATGTCGTTCAGAAGAACGATGAAAGCTCCACGACCAAACCATCCAGCTCAGAGAACAAAACTCCATCAAAAAGTTTAATAATGCATGTAAGGAGAATGGTTTATTACGTTTTTGTACAATTGTGCATGTTTTGATAATAATGCATGTATTTTGTTTAGAATAAATGACTGTTGACTGCTTAACATGTAAATGTATATTCTATCTGTATATATTGGCTTCAGAATACATTATAACAAGGTATTTTATGAATACAAGGTTGTTTGTATTTATTATTATTATTATTATCTAGAAGGTCAGATTCTTAATATACCATGTATGACTTGAGCATCCAAACGGTAGAACCTTCTCAAATCACAAATGAGAAAATAGAAGATGAATAGAGACGAAATTCATTGTTGGGCAAGAATCGAAATGTACACAAAATCATGGGTAGTTATTAGATATAAGAGTTTGTTAAATTAACATTATAATTTGACCAATCTGAAAAGAGGCATGTTATACTACTGATCAACAGTAGTATGTAATGTTGATATTCTAGATAGCTCAATTGTGTTATGATTGAATGGAACACTTTGGCTCTTCTATAACCTCTGGAGTACTTGGAAATTATCCCAACAGCATTAATAGAGGTTTTCTGTAGTTTTCATCAAACTAATAATCACAATGAGTAAGAAAATTAAAGAAAGAAGCAAAGATCTAATAAAATTGATTTATTTGGCACTAAAATGTTTGTTGTTGGGCATTGGACATAACAACTACAATGTAAATTTAATCAATACAACTCAAATAGAATCAACCACTATTGATTTTAGCCTTAATTAACAAGATTCACTAGTAACTAATTAGTTGAATAGAAAATTTAGTTTTATTTTTTTTGTGTGTACTTAATTTCTTTCCAAATGATGAACATAAGAACCAAACATCCTTTTTTAAAACACAAAAAAGTGTATGTGGAGTGAGGGGGAGGGTTATTACTCAAAGTTTAACGGGAGATATGGCTGTTTACGTTGTAAATCAAATTAGAAGTTCAATCTATGTGATTGGAATCTGTACATTATGATTTATTCATTAGAGAGTTTGATAAATATCTGAGATCATCCATAACTGATTAAATCATGTTTGTTTGTGATTTAAATCAAACACTTGAATCTATATTTGAGTAGGATCCTCCATGGAACATGAAGTATCTGGCATTCAGTCAATGTTTCATTAAGTATTCTATAATTGAATTCATGAGTCAATTGAAACTAGATCATCAAGGAAAGCCTATAAGCACTAGATGACCGTTTCGTCCCAATATGGGACTCCTTAGCAGTGCACATCCACGACCCTGCCTCGCAAGGTTCGAAAACAGGACCTATCAGTCGCGCGAGCGAACGCTTCACTTCTAGACAACTGAGCTAGTATCATATAGTGTTAACGTCTAATTTCAAACAATCCACGAAATCACGCCACCGTCCATAATTGTATTTAGTGAGTTAGTGCCTCACAACAAACACGGTTGAACCCCACTAATCAACTAATGACATCAATGAAGTTAATTAATTAATTTTTGTTGAAATAGTCTACGATGAACAGAAAGATATGTGATTTACATATGACATTCATTTTATGAAGCAGAAACTCCTCAATATATCTCAGTGCGTAGAAAATTAGTATTAGTGACGTTTCGTCACGTCGTGTTAGCCGCTTCTTCAGAGTGTTTATTTACTATGAAGAAGTGGCTAACATAAAGTAACGAACCGTTAGGGACACAAATTTTCTGTACATTTGAAAATCGGAAAAACTATATATTTAAATTGAACAATTGAATAGAGCACTGCATGAAATCTGAAGTATCTGTTATTCAGTTAATATTTCATCGAGTATTCTATAGTTGAATTAATGAGTCAACTAATGGTAGACCATCATAGAAAACCAAAACGTTACTTTAATATCCACAAAAATACTTTGATTCTAATCATTATATGCTCATTAGTGACGGTATCCAAGATGTATTTCATGGAGTTCTAGTGAGTAGACGTAACCAGTAGAGTTCAACCGTATATGTTGTGAGGTAGTAACTCACTGAAGGCAATAATGGACGGTGGCATATTTTCGTGGATTGGTTGAAATTAGACATTGACACCATTAGATGCCAGCTCATTGTTCTAGACGGTAGGCGTTGGCGCGCTAGACTAATAGGTCCTGGATTAGAATCCCGCTTGGCGGGATCGTAGATACGCGTTGTTGAGGAGTCCTCTACTAGGACGAAACGAAAAACCCTTTTCTGATTCAAAAGAATATATATTCATTATTAACATTCTATCCAAATTCTCAACTTGATTCGAAACAATCCATTTCAACCATGATATTGATACTTATAAACAATTTACGTTAAATTCACTTGGTATTGTTTACTTCAAACTTCTCATTAATGTTTAGGACTGCAATTGATCAGTTTCTTATTTGCAAATATGCATACTATGCGTATTACCTCGACATTGCATTACAAGCAAGGATAGATAGTGGCTAGCAGTGAAATCCAATTTGACGTGTGTTTCTTCCTATTTTCAACTCGTCAGCTTGATAGCTGTTGATGTTCATTCTAGGACTCGAACCCAATACCATTCACTTCAAACACCATCGCGTTATCCACTGACGAGTCCTAAGTAGGACAATATACACATCCTGGATTCTACTGCTAGCCACTATTCATCATTGCTTATAATTCATTGTATTATTAAATCAATATTCAAATTCAATATAATTAGTTATGCTATTTAATGTTATACCATGGTTGTTATACAATTGCATGTATCTAGTTTATTTATTTACTGTAATTTTAATGAATAAAATAATACTACTAATAATAGTAATCGTTTTGATTACGTAACATGGCAACAAGAAACGTTCCTTTTTTATATTTCAATCAATATCATGTTGCTTGTTTGTTATCTCTCATTCATTCATCTAATGTAATGTATTTGTGTGTGTGTGTGTATGTAGTCGTCTTTATATGGAACATATATTGAAATGTATATTATTCTTTCTTATTTTTAAATCATATTAAAAACAACTCGCCACCCCCCCACCCCCATCCCCCTACACGCACACATACGAACAAACAATTATTTACTACTACTGATAATAATCAAAGGAACACGAGCAATAATTCGACGAGGAGCTACAAGTGTTGAACCAGCTGAAAAGAATCATGATGATGGTGATGATAATGATGATGATTACAATGATAATGGTGATGATAGGGAATATAATGGTGATGAATTATATGGAAATAATATTGATGGATATACAATTAATTCTAGATTACCACGTAGTTCAACTACAATGACAACAGTTAGTGGTGAACCATTGATTGCATCAACTATTTTACGTTCTAATGAAAAAGGGAATACAATGGGTACATCAACAATGACACTTATTGGAGGGAGTAGATTACGAGAAGGAAATATTCCACATCAATATCATTCTATAGATCAAATGAATTCATCACGTTCCCATTCACGTAATCCAATGATAACTATATATGATAAACAACAAATCAATGATATCACTGAGGATATAAATAATCAATCTAAAAAAAGTAAATATTTATCAGCGACTAGAAATAATGATGGTAATCGTAATGGGCATAGTGAGTTGTATAGTTTATTTGTTTGATTTTTTGTTTTCTCTTTCTTCTTTACCTTAATATTTATTCCAAGGGGAGATGATCTAAATATGGTATCGTGCTTTATTACTACGTCATAATCGATTAATCACTGAGTGATGATCAGCGTCACGTGTGTCAGGTCCCTTTTTGTGCAGATCAGATGCTATCGATCAATTTGTAATGCGGCCACTCATCTAGGTGATTCGATATTACGTGTAGTATGCTGAGATAAGATGGTGGTTGGAGGTCGTCGAAAAGAAACCCTGTTCGACCAAGATTTCATGCTATTTAGCACTCGTCAGCAAAGTGTACCTGTAATCTCGAAGGGACTGATGCTCCCATTCGGATTCGATCCCGTGTCACTCAGCTTCATGACCGGATCCGGGGACACTTATTAACTACCTGCAACCATCTTGTTATTACTAAGCAGATAAATTGTATGTTATTCTATGACTACTATGACTACGATCTAAATATGTCTAATTTATCAATCATCTATGATAAGTAAACTGAAGTCTAAACAATTTCTTGAGTCACCATTAAAGTTCGGTCAAAACGTCAAGGATTTCCCAGAGTACTTTGAGTCTCTTAGGTATATTTCTAGAAAAATCAGTTACTTTAAAGATTTTTCGGATTAATTACTGTTTGGCTATTTTTAGTATTCAAGTGTGAATTCGAAATCTTCGAATGAGAGATTCACTTGCTGACTTAGGATACACAGATGATCCACTTTTTAGTTTCTGGTGAAAACGCAGAAAATATGCAGTCTTGTAACTGCCTTAAGCAAAAATACAAATATATTTGAGATAAGATCCTTTGGTTTGTGTTAACAACTCAATGAATGATAAGGAGTGAATTCGTTGAACGCACAGACCCATTCACTTGTGTTGGGAATCTTATCAGTCTTGATTATCTGATATCCGAAGAAATCTCAATACAAATTTAGAAGGCCCGATTAAATGGAAAGTCGATTTATGAGACGGTAAATCTTCATTATTTGAGGTGTTTAGGACATGTATCATGCATACTTAACCACTACCTACCTAGAGAGTCGATGTTGGTCTGAAGAAAGTTAGGGGTGGTCAAACTAAAACGTGGCACCAATTTATAAAAACATTAGAGATTGGATTGAAGCGTGTAATTAGGTTCGGACCGCCTAATTGAGATCCGTAAAATTATTGTTCCCAATCGTCGAGGTGGATTCACTTCTGTCTCACACCCAACATGGTTGAAATACATTAATCACATCTTCTGACTAAAACTCCCGCCAGCGGGATCGTGGATTTGCACTGCTGAGGAGTTCGATAGTAGGACGAAACGACTTCTCAGTGCTTTCAGGTTTTCAATGGTGGTTTAACATCAATCGTTTCATGATCTCAATCAAAAACTTACTAATCTCCGTACCCTATAATGAATATTAAATTATTATTAATTCATTTCATAGGTTTTGGTATGATGCATGCGAGTTGATATTTATAACTTGAATGGAATATGCATTAGTTTATATGACATGATGAAAAGAGCTTTGCATGTGTTTGCATGTGGAATGCAGCATAACTGCATTTGTACATATTATACATTGTTGAGCTCTTCGGGAATGCAAACAACAAATTACATCTGATTAAATCTTTTGTTTACTCTCCAAATTATACTTTGGCATATGTGCGTCCTGTACATATTGCCTTAATTCACAAGCATTCTAAGCAAAGATGAATAGCAGCAGTGGAATCTAGGACGAGCGTTTCGTCTTATTTGTGACTCATCAGCTGGAAGTGCCTGCATATCGAGGAAATACGCGCAGCATGCACATATACCAATAAGACATTGATCAATTGTAGTCTTTAACATCAATGAGAAGATTCGAGTAAACAATACCAAGTGAATTTAACAAGCAATGGGGTAGCTAAGTGGATAACGTGATGGCGTTTGAAGTGAACGGTATTGGTTTTGAGTCCCATAGTGAAAATCAACTCTGATATGCACATGTACATCCATCTGACGATTCCTAAATAGGATGAAACGCTCGTCTTGATTTCCACTGTTAGACATCATTCATCTTTGCTTGAAATGATCTCTGTTAATAATGTACACCTAATATATCTGTTACACATAGGTTTTGTGACAATCGGTTTAATATGAAGTAAGTTAACAACATTAAATCATATTAACAAAGGCTACGAGCTGTACTTTTATTAGACACTAGAATCAAATCTAGGACTTATGGTCTCAGGCAAGAAAGCTTAATCTTGAGATTAGTGAGCCAACATCCGATGTTATACAAGTCTAACATCAACTAATCCGTGATAATGTGTGACCATCTTTTAACATGTTTATTGAGCATTTTCCTTGCACCCAACATGGTTAGCCTCCATTCGTTTCAGCTTGACATTAGCACTCTGAAAATTACTTTCCGATAGATCTATTCAGAAGCACAACAATATGATCCTATAATCTTCATGTTTTTATATTATTGATGAATATATTAAGATACACTCGGTGAGTTGAAGTTAGACAAACTTTGTAGGACTGTTATACCAGTAATCTTTTTGATGGAGTTTTGTACTCTGAGCTGGATAGTTTGATTCAAAAGGTGATTATTAACATTTGTATGGAAATTCTAATCCAAAACATTGGAAGTTGGTAATTAAACTAAACTGAACATCCGGGACTAGTTTAGAAATCTACAGACCGAATTCTGTAAGGATAAGTCGTGCATAGACCAAATCGTGACACTGTGGATGACAGTTGAGTAATCAGTTGAGTGGGAATTATCATAATTTATCAAATTCCTTGACTATGGGGAAGAGTTTGACACAAGGTGTACATGAGAAAATCGTCAACATCATATAGATTTCGTAAGACGAACTATACTGCAACTTTGTAAATGAAGGACAGCTTACAGATACATCCCAAGTGAACACCTGTCGAATAAAGCTGTCTACTCTCACCCTTTCTCTTTTTTCTTATAACCGATTGGATTATAAGAGCGTTCACATTTGAGGGGAATCATGGAACACAATTTACAGCTTCCATGAAACTTGACAATTTGTACTTGATCGGTTACCTAGCACTTCTATCCCATACACTCCAACAAATGAAGATGAAAACAACCAATGTAGCAGCCACTTCTACAGCAGTAAGCCTCCACACACAAGAGAAAAACCAAGATCCACAAATACAATGTGGAGAACACCAACTCAATCACAATAGATGGAGGAGCTCTAGAAGATACCGAATCTTTCGGATACCTGGACAGCATCATAGATAAACAAGGAAGATTTGATAAGGATGTGAAGACAAGGATTAGCAAAGCAAGAGCAGCATTTGTACAATTGAAGAATATCTGCAACTCGAGACAACTATCATTCAACTTGAAAGTCAGAATCTTCAACACAAACGTTAACATAGTTCTGTGATATGGAGCTGAAACTTGGAGAGTTACAATAACCATCATCAAGTATGAGTATTTATATACCTAAGACATTAGATTCGTCAGCCAAATACTATCAGTAATGATCTACCATCGGAGTTAACAAATTAACTCTAAGTTATAAAGGGAATTAAGAGGAGATTTTCGAGGGTAGTAGAACGTATATTAAAAAAATCACAAAAAATGCTTCACGATCCAAGCCCTCACTTGAACTTCTGAAGACAAAAGGAAAAGTGGAAGATCCGAGAACAAATTATGTTGGTAATTGAAGTTAGACGTTGAAAGAGTTACAGTAATTGTAAACACTATATGTCATCAAAAAAATGAATCTTAAGATTTAAACTGACTTATCTTGTTAATAAATGTAACCATGTGCTCACTGGTGATTACTTTCGTGACAGAATTCTCGGAGTTCTAATCAGAAGCCTTGACCAGTGGATCTAATCCGTGTTGAGTAGAAATAGGTATCTACCTCAGTGCAATGGAAGATGGTCGCGCAGTTTCGTGGATTAGTTGAAGTCAGACATTAACACCCTTGGATGCCGGCTTAATGGTCTAGAAGTTAAGTGTTCGCGCGCGAGACTGACAAGTCCTGGGTTCGAGACCCGCTAGTGGGATTTTGAATGGGCACTACTGAAGAAGACAAAACGACTGTCCATTGCTTCCATGTCTTCAATGGTTGTCTAACATCAATCTATTCATGATTTAAATCAAAAAGTAATGTGCTTATAATATCTCACTTCTTCAGAAAAGCAATCTCTTGGTTAGGAGAAATGGGATTACACACTGTTTTTATGGATAACAATAGAACCAATGGTCAGTGGTCTACGTTTCATTATTTATTTTAAGTTATCTATATTTTTTACCAGTGGTAAACCTTTCAGTGCTCCTCTATCCATGTTTATACATACCACTTCTCTTTAACTAACTGTGGTATAAAAATATATGTAACCATTTTGTTTAAAAAGGTAGTCGAAATAAACATGGTCGACGTTCATCATCTCAAACCAATGAACATGATATGTTGATACCAGGTCAACCACTTATATATAATGCAACAGTGACTAATGTTAGTCGGTCAGGCCATGGTTCACGTGGTCCATATACAAGTCTTGGTCCAGGTCATTTCCGTATAGCTGGAAAAGCACCATTGGCTTATGATACCACTTCTATGGGAACAACAACTCCGATTCAATCACCGAAACCAGCTATAAATGATACATTACAATTTTCATTCGACAATGAACATGTACAACGTAATTCTGTACTGATTTCTCCAATACAAAATGAAAAATCAATTAAACCGGTACTTTTTGAAGATGAAGCAAATAATAAACCATCTAGATCATGTTTCATGTCATGTATACAAAAAATTTCATCATTCTGTAGTCGATTATTCAGATGTAATACTGATTCAAAGAAATCAAACAAAGGTTTAAATGTTAGTCAAGAACCGTCTGGTATTAAAGGGCCTAAAGAATTTGCCACTCTTCGTGCAATGGCTGCATTAGCTGCAGCGACAGCAGCGACGGCTGTAGCAGATCCAACAAAAACTTCTCCAGGAGGTAAGTAACTATTATGTTAATTCATTTTGCATTGATTGTTTAAATCTTCACATTAATGTTTAGGAATGTTGTTGATCCATCTATTATTGGTATATGTACGCCCCATTGCACAAGTTAGCGTCTATTAGGACTCAGTATCTAAAAGGGTAACACAATCACGTTCGAAGCGAACGGTGCTGGGCTTGAGTCCATGAGTGGACATTAACTCTGAGATGCAGATACGCCCAACTGATGAGTTCAAATAGGACGAAATGTCGCACGTCCTGAATTATGTTAATCGATATTTCTATTTGTAGTACATCTAAATCTAGTTTAATAAAGTGAATTAATCAATTGGATTCATGGTATATGACTGTTATTATTTACCTGCTTACTTACGTCTATGACCCCTAATGAAGTATAGGCAATAGAGCATTATTCTAACATAACGTTTTCAACTTTATTTTCATGATGAAATTTTAACAATTTTTACATAACTAAGTTCAATAGTTTCTTACTTACTTACGCCCGTTACTCCTCGTGGAGGAGCATAGGCCGCTCACCAACACTCCCCATCCAACCCTGTACTGAGCATTCCCTTTCCAACTCTTCTCAGTTGCTATTCATCCTTTTTCATATCTGCTTCTATTTCCCGACGTTCAATAGACAATAATGTTATTCAAGATCCTTTATGTTTTCAGTGTTGTTAATTCAATCAATTCATATTGCATAAGACATTTCATCCAAGCATATATCTTGATAAGGAGTTGACTGTAACATAGATAACCTTTCAACAGTTTATGACTTTTCATTTCTTTAATTATTATTGGTTAGATTGAGTAGACGTTTTGATTAACAGTATAGTTATCTATGTGCTGTATACATGCTTATTTTTGTTAAACCTTATTGAAGTGCATAAGCCACCTACTTACCAGCATTCTTTATCAAACTCTATCCATGAACAATCCTTTCCAATTGTTCCCTGTTGTTATTCACTTTTTTCATATCTGATTCCAATTCTCAACATAATATGTTCTTTGATATTTCCCTTTTTCTTACTTCTTTATCTTCAGGATTCTAGTTTAGGGCTCGGCTTATGGTACAATTCCTAGATATCCATAATGTATATTCAATCCAACTCCAGAGTACATTCTTAATTTCCTCCTCAACTGGAAGTTGGATTGTTCTCTCCCACAGTAGGCTGTTGCTGATGTTATTCAGCCATACATATTTATATGCTATTTCATCCTCACTTACGCTTATATGTATTGTATGTATTCACTGAATAAGACAATTTGTAACACTGAATGTATCTAGTTATTACTGTATCCAATGAAAAAAGTACTCGATCAAATGATTATAGGCTTATTGAGTAGTACTTTCTTATAAAACGATCATTACTTGATTATAACTTTCAAATCATACTACCTTTAAAGGTGATATATCTAGAAAGGGTACTAATATAATGTGATAGGATGGTGGTTGGAGGTAGTTAACAGGAGACCTTGGATTCGGATTTCGTGCTCTTTGACACTCGTCAGCAAGGTGTACCTGTAATCTTAAAGGAACTAGTGCTCCCTAAAGGATTCGATCCCATATCACCCAACTTTACAGTCAGAAACTTCACCACTAGGCTATCCAGGCCACGACCGACCTTCTGTAGAACTGAGATGTAATCACAACTGATTGATCACTGGGTGGTGATCAATATGTTGTACAAATATCAAATGTATCATTGATTTACCCCTATCTAAGTATTTGTTCCTTGTAGACGTTGTTCATTTTACTATGTTGATTACAAACTTCTATTTGACTTCTATTTGATCTTGATGTTATTTCATTGAGTAGATAGATGATTCAATGTATGTCTATAATTGTACTTAACCTTATGCATCAAAATATAATTACATAAAGCATCCATTTTATCGTTGAAATTAGATACATTCGATGATTTAATTTACGCGGTAAGATCATTATTTATGAATGAACCAATCAGATTTAAGATAATAGATCTTAGATTTTGGCGCAAAATTTATTCATCTATTTGGTTAAATAAAGTTTTAATATTTTGGCTGGTGTCAGTTGATGATGAAAACTTTAAATCTAGTTCTTAAATCTAACCATCAAATGTAAATGATAATCCTTACTTTGTACACAGGTTTATAACCGTCATTTAGCTCTAATAAGAAGGTGTACATTCTCAAGATCACTATAGCATTGCTTAAAGATCGTGCATAAATTATTAGTCTCTTCATGTATGTAGTGTCAGGAGTGGGATTCAACCCGACTCTCACAGAGTGGACTGAGACTTGAACACAGCGCTTTGGACCGCTCGGTCATCTGGACTACCCAGTCTCCTCATGTACACTTGTAAATAATTATACATTAATGGATACATTAAACGAATGTATCAAATACTTTCATAATGAACAATATCTATTAATGTGTTGTTAGGTTAGTTTATAAGAACTAGATGTGTCCATTTATACGAAGATAGTTTATTAATATGAACTAATATCAAGCAGATTAGGTTTTTTTTTCTTTACATATATATACTTGTAAATCATCATTGTGTATGGATCGACGATCGAATCCCATGAGCGGTATCATCGATGCATACTGCTGAAGAGTCTCATAATAGAACGAAACGGCCGTTCAGTGCTTGCAGGTATTCAGTCGTGGTCGAACATTAATCAATTAATGACGTCAATCAAGTTTCAGTTTCTTATTTCATGATCGATCTTGATGATAAATATTAAATGATTCTAAGTTATATGTTAGTAGTTGAGGAATCGATATCTGAATAATGTTTATTGTTTTCAATGCATATTGACTACCAACCACCACGATGTTTCCGATGATGATTGTACTTTATTGTAAGTTATACAGAGAAAAGTCGTAAACTTTTCTCATAAACGTTCCTGAATAGGTTATGTAATTAATAGACATAATGACGTGTTCGAACAAACAAACACAAACAGATCACTTGTTGAAATATCTAGATGATAAGAACAAGTAGCTCAGATATTCAAGCAAGCCTACCGGGTAATAGAAATACGTTATGGTTAGGGACGTAAGATCGCCAGAACTCACTTGGGAAAAAACTTAATTTTGTAATTGTATTTAGAAAATTTGAATTTCATTGTTTTCGCACCAAAGGCGCTCTTGACACCTTCATATCGTATTTCTCCCTGAGAAATATCTTAAATGCTATTGGTCCGTTGTGTCTTTTAGTATGTTATTTGGTAACTCTCCCTAAGGACGGTTTTGTACTGTATATATATACGTTTTGAATTGTGTTTGTTGTTATCACTCGTTTCTGGGTGTTTGCAGAACATACTTCCCCATTCCAAGCTTGGACTTCTTCCTTTAGTTAGCGGGGCTGGGACACATTAATAGCTAGCTTACTGGTCTTTATTCACTGAGTCTTGTTTCCCGTTCGTAGATCAAGTGAGCCCTTGATAGCTTCAACCCTAGCAGTTACCAGATTAGGATTACAATGTCAATAAACTCTTTATTTGAATACAGTAAATGGTTTTGAATTTAATCATAACCTAAAGCTTACGTGCTTAACTACAAAAGCCCCGTAGTTAAGATCAAACTTATAATCTGGTTTCATTATGTACTTAACAATAGATGACGATACATATCTGTCATCATATCTTATCAGGTTGTTGTTTTTTTACATTCATAATTGCTCATTTAGATACACCTTCCTATTTGTCGTCGTTTATGACTGTACATCAATGTGTAAATCGAATGTATATGTTTGAATGAGTTTATTTTTCTGGTTTTCTTTTTTAAAACGGGTTAGTTTTCTACAGAGTGGGGTAGGTAACCCTATGTACAACTCACCTCCTTTATCCGAACTTGTGATCGGCAATAGTCCCAGAGGAGTTCCAGGTGGTTAATGAAATTGATTCTAAGTTGTAAACGAGATCACTTAATTCATGAATCCATCTTTATTTTTTCTTCTATGATCGTTATTTCTTTCTAATTCAAGTAATTAGAATAACATGTTACCAATTATGATTAAAGGAAGTTGAATACAATATAATATCTTAGCTCAAATTGAAGTGTTCTTTGTTAATAAATATATTACCTTCAGTGTGTATTTGCCTAACAGTATTAGATAAATGAATTCCATTGATATGTGAGAGAGGATGATAATGATTAGGTTGTTTGCTTAGTCAAATTTATAGATAGTCTGATAGGTCTTAGATGAGTTATACATTCCCCTATCCTTATAATGATAATTGTTATTGATTGTTCATTGATGTTGGATTGTGTCGGGTTTTGGGATTTGGAATTATATCTACGTTCTAGTTAGGTTAATCACATGTTCTTGATCTGAGTTATGTTGAAATCCTGTAGAATAGACACTGGAAGGGTATCTAGTATAGATATTCGTCTAAGTTAAATGAATATCCCATTCATGTAGACGAACAAAAACCAAGTGTTATAACATTAATGCTCTCAGCAAATGTTTGTCCTTAGCTGATATTAAAAATCAATACTTACACCTGTTACCATTCATAGAAGATTATCAACCCCTCTTCTACATGTGTTGTATTATGTTGGATTGTTATCAGTTTTTGAATGTGGATATATATCTATGTTCTAGTTAAACGAATCATGTATTCTTGATCTGAGTTGTGTTGAAATCCTGTAGAATAGACACTGGAACAGAATCTACTGTAGATATTCGTCTAAGATGGTACATTAACATCCAATTCGTGTAGATGAAGTAAAACGAACGTTTTAACACTAATCCTCTTGGCAAATGTGTTATAACTTGAATGTTGATTTCTTGATATACCGCGTATAACATAACACTAGAACACCAAAACCCTTCCAAGTCGCAATAAGAAGATAAAAGACTGATGAAAGGAATATTATTCCAAACATTGTCAATCATAATACAAAATTGTCAGGTATTTATAGTTTATACTAAGAACGAAATCATCATTACAGTCCTCCAATCCGCATACAGGTGGCTATTAGCATTATCCAATAAAGAC